GGAAGGCTGAGGTAGAAGGATTGCCTGAGCCCAGCAGGTCGAGGCTGCGGTGGCCGGGAGCGGGCACTGCACTTCCAGTCTGGGTGATAGAGTGAGATTCCAACTAAAAAAAAAACCCAAAAAAACCACATTACCATTCATTTATTTTAGTATCCTTCCACAATTACATTACTTCTGTTTCCTTTTTTTTAAAGATCTGTAATCACTAACTTTCTCAATTTAAAACTCAGAGTACTTTTCACAGAGTTTATATTCTGGATCTAGACCTCTTTTAAATTGTCTAGCCTTCCAGAGCTAAATATGTCTTCCTAAGTTTCTCCCTCATGAATCCTCTGCATCATTTAAGAAAAACATTTCCCAGCCGGGATCGGTGGCTCAGCCTGTAATCCTGTGCCTTTGGGAGGCTGAGGTGAGAGGACTGCCTGAGCCCGCGGGTTCGAGACCCGTCTGGGCAACTTGGTGAGACATCATCTTTACAATAAATCAAAAATCAGCCAGGCGTGGTAGCACATGCCTGTAGTTCCAGCTACTTGGAAGGCTGAAGTGGAAGGATCGCCGGAGCCCAGCAGGTCGAGGCTGCGGTGGCCGGGAGCGGCCACTGCACTCCAGTCTGAGTAACGGAGTGAGACTCCAACTCAAAAAAAAAAAAAAGAAAAACATTTCCCAAGACCCTGCTGGCTCTTTCCAAGTATTAGCCTATAACCTTTCTTCCATCCTTACGTGTTTAAAAATAAGGATCAACCCCTTGCCTCTATTTGCCTTCCACACCTTCCTAAAACCAGTGCATTATGGCTTCTGTTCCAGTTGCTCAGGGACCCCAAGATGCCTGAGGACTAAAATAGAGCAGCCCTTTCTCAGTCCTCAGCCTCAACTGCTCCACAATTGGCTTCCAGGAAAAGGCACCACACTCATCTGTATTCTCGTCTTCCTCTACATGGAAAGCACTTGAAAATGTGTTAGACTGGGCACGGTGGCTCAGCCTGAATCCCAGAACTTTGGGAGGCCAATGTGAGAGGATTGCCTGAGCCCAGGGGTTCGAGACCAGCCTTGGCAACTTGGTGAGCCCTCGTCTCTATAATAAAACACAAAAACTAGCCAAGCAGGCATCTGTAGTTCCATCTACTTGAAAAGCTGAGGTGGAAGGATCACCTAAGTCCAGTAGGTCAAGGCTGCAGTGGCCATGAGCATGCCACTGCACTCCAACCTGGGCGACAAGAGTGAGACTCCAACTCAATAAAAAAGAAAAAAGGAAATGTGCCTAAGTCTGGCACAGTGGCTCACGCCTATAATCCCAGAACTTTGGGAGGCTCAGGCAAGAGGACTGTCTGAGCCCATAGATTTCAAGACCAGCCTGGGCAACTTGGCGAGACCTTGTCTCTACAATAAAAATGAAAAAATTAGCTGGGTGTGGTGGCAGACATCTGTAGGTCCAGCTACTTGGAAGACAGAGGCAGAAGGATTGCCTGAGTCCAGCAGGTAGAGGCTGTGGTGGCCGTGCGCATACCACTGCACTGCAGCCTCCAGCCTGGGTGACAGTGAGATAATTTAAAAAGGTTGGGCTCGGTGGCTCAGCCTGTAATCCCAGCACGTTGGGAGGCCAAGGCAAATGGATTGCCTGAGCCCATGAGTACGAGACCCACTTGGGCAACTTGGCGAGACCTTGTCTCTACAATAAATCAAAAATTAGCCGGGCATGGTAGCGCATGACTGTAGTTTCGGTTACTTGAAAGGCTGAGGCAGAAGGATCGCCAGAGCCCAGCAGGTCGAGGCTGCAGTGGCTGGGAGCGTGCAACTGCACCCCAGTGCGGGTGACAGAGTGAGACTCCAACTCAAAAAAAAAAACAAAACAAAGCCAGGCTTGGTGGCTCAGCCTGTAATCCCGCGCCTTGGGAGGCTGAGCCCGCAGGTTCAAAACCCGCCTGGGTAACTTGGTGAGCCCTCATCTCTACAATAAATCAAAAAATTAGCCGGGCGTGGTAGCGCACACCTGTAGTTCCAGCTACTTGGAAGGCTGAGGTGGAAGGATGGCCGGAGCCCAACAGGTTCAGGCTGCGGTGGCCGGGAGCAGCCACTGCACTCCAGTCTGGGCGACAGAGTGAGACTTCAATGCAAAAACAAAACAAAACAAAACAAAACAAAACAAAACCAAAAACATTTAAAGAAAATGTGCCTAGTTCATAGAAGTACTACATAACTATTAGCTAATTTATTAACATTTATTCCTCCTCTTAATCCCAAAATATAGGTAATTATCTGAGATTCTGTCCTTGGCAACTTTCTTTTCTGCGCCTCCCACTTCTTTCCTTCATCATGTCCTCTACTCACCAGGTTTCAACTAACCCACCTTTAGGATTACAAATGTCTCTCATAAATCCAAATCTATCTCCTGAACTCTAGATCCACACTTAACACATCTAAAGTTAACTGTCTTTTCCCCATGTCCTTAAATTTTATTAATAGCACCATTATTTGCGTCCATCAGTTTTCACTTCACTCGCTTCCTCACTACCACTATAGGCAATCAATTCTCAAATTTGTCATCTCTACCTCCTCAATATCTTTTCTTTCCATTTCCTAACTCAGGCCTTCCTTATCTCTCATCTACTCTAGCACTCCAACCTGATTTTACACTCCTCCAAGACTCAAGTACACATTGTTGTCAGATAAACCTTACAAAACCATAACTCTGATTGAGTTACTTACCAGGTCAAAAACATTCAATGGATGTATCCTACTTCCTTAAAAAGCACAAACTTCACCTTGACATTCAAGAGCCTACACAAAATAGATGGCACCAACTCCATCTTTCGAAATTCTCTTTACTCACAGTGTCCACAACCTGGCCAAGCAGGAAAATTATTTAGGTCTTCTGCCTTAACGTAAACATATTTTTATTGAGCATTCCTCCCCATATCTTCATACTTCAGCCTGTTGATATTTTGCAATCTTAAAAGTACACGTAAAACTCCAACTCCAGCCGGGCTCGGTGGCTCAGCCTGTAATCCCGCGCCTTTGGGAGGCTGAGGTGAGTGGATTGCCTGAGCTCGCGGGTTTGAGACCCGCCTAGGCAGCGAGACCTCATCTCTACAATAAATCAAAAAATCAGCCGGGTGTGGTAGCGCATGCCTGTAATTCCGGCTACTGGGAAGGCTGAGGTAGAAGGATCGCTGGAATCCAGCAAGTCGAGGCTGCAGTGGCCGGGAGTGGCCACTGCACTCCAGTCTAGGCGACAGAGCGAGACTCCAACTCAAAAAAAAAAAAAAAAAAAAAAAAAACAACTCCAATTCCTAGCAGGGCTCGGTGGCTCAGCCTGTAATCCTACGCCTTGGGAGGATGAGGTGACTGGATTGCCTGAGCCCGTGGGTTCGAGACCCACCTGGGCAACTTGGCGAGACATCATCTCTACAATAAATCAAAAGATTAGCCGGGCGTGGGAGCGCATGCCTGTAGTTCTGGCTACTTGGGAGGCTGAGGCGGAAGGATTGCCGGAGCCCAGCAGGTTGAGGCTGCGGTGGCCGGGAGCGGCCACTGCACTGCAGTCTGGGCGACAGAGTGAGACTCTAACTCAAAAAAAAAAAACACTCCAACTCCTCCACAGGTTTTTGGGAATGTTTGTTTTTCTTGATTGTCTTTCTTCCCTTCCCCAAAGATATCCAATTCCTCTTCCAAACGTTTTTAGCAATTGGTAATGACTCTTACAGGCCTGCCTACATTCTGCAATAGATTACGGCTATTTATATTATCACTTTAAGCTCCTCGCTTAACAAAAAGCTCCTTAAAAACAAAGATCTTTTTTTAATAGCTCTGTAGTCCTTTGGACAATCAACAAATTGTCTAAATTTTAGAGAAACATAACCATTAAGGACAGCAAGTTGTGTAAGAGTTTTTGAAAACCTCAGACATCCCTAGGCTACCACGTTTAAATGTCATCTAATGAAAACTCAGAAGACCTACAGTTTTTAAACAATTTGGGTAAAGAGGAAATTACTCAAAGTGAGGGTGACAAAAGGCAACTGCCTCCTGTAGTTCACACCTCAACGTTTTACACAGAGTCCCCAGTAGTTAAGGACCTTAAAAAGGAAGCTAAGATAACTAGATTCCAGTGCCAACTATGCCACTCACTTGCTTATGCCTAGACATGACCCTCTGCGTCTTTTCTCAGCTGTTAAGTAAAAAATTTTTACCAGAAGTTCTTAAGTCCCCTACTTAGGCATCCCATGTGACTACAAAAAAAACCTGTATAGGTACCCAATCCCCTGACAAGTCTTCAAAGCTTCACCCCAAGCTTCACTTCTTCAGATTCCATCTCCAACAACTCTTGCCCTGCCTGTTCTGGGCTACTTCAGCACCTGCGACCCTTGTAATCACAGCTAAGTCACAAACTATCTGTTCCTATCGCTCCACTATTCATCTGGAAGTGCCTCGAGAAAGATAATGCATTCTGCTCGGGAAGAAGTTGGGATCCCTCCTCCTGCTGCCGCTCCACATCAAGCATGCCCAATGATCCATTGCAAAACAGTGTACCTAAGGTTGCAGCCTGACTCCCCTCCCGCCCGGGTTCCCTCATTTCCAGTACCGACGGGTTCTCTAGGACACAGCCATAGCCCTCCTCACCCAGCAACTCGAGGTTCATCCCTGCGGACTCTGGCCGCCCGGTCTCAGCTCCGGCAACAACGCCCTCTCCCCAGCCGGCTTCTAAGATCTGCGTCTAAGTGGTGAGCTCCGGGGCCAGCCTGCTGCAAGCTGCAGAGACTTTCTGACTTAGAAGGCCCCGCGGCTTCCGCTTTCTTCCCCCGCCTTCCTTGTGCGTTCCAATTGAGCTGCCCATATATATGCCTAACCAAAAGGCAACATAAACTCGCTCGGAATCAAGTATTTATCATATTTTTAAAGTTATAAAATGCTATAGCCACTAGGAGCTTTAAATAGTGAGAAAATGTAAGGCTACTTCCTTCGGAAACATATAGGTGGGCCAGACAATTCCAGGCATATAGTTAACCTACTAGTCCTCACTCTGTTGTGTGTTCAGAAGCATTGTCCGGCCGGGCTGCCTTAGAGGACGCGGGAAAGGTTCCGGGCAAGTCCTACTGAAGCAGGAAAGCCGGGAGGGTCGGCCTCTAGTGATCGGGTAGCGAGCGCTGCTGTGCTCAAGGCGCATCCTCGCCTTGCATTGATAGTTGCCGGTATCCGTCTAAGAGTCGCGAAAAGTATTTCTCATTTGTAAAGCTATGCTATCGATCCTACAGAAAGGTAGGATAACATTTGGTAGTTTTAGATAATAAAAACCTTATTATCTAAAGTTTTCCCATGTACCCAGCATTGACAAAGACACTGTGTAAAAGAAGTGGAATGAGAGTTAAACTAAGTTCCCCAGAGCTCGATTATCCATAACTGTGATGAGAGCAATTAGAGAAGGCCAGTTGGTTACTAACGCAGAGGCAGATTTTATTTATTTATTTATTTATTATTTTTTATTTTTGAGTTAGAGTCTCGCTCTGTCACCCAGGCTGGAGTGCAATGGCTCGCTCACGGCCACTGCAGCCTCGACCTGCTGGGTTCAGGTGATCGTTCCGCCTCAGCCTTCCGAGTAGCTGGAACTACAGGCGCGCGCTACCACGCCCGGCTCGTTTTGATTTTTTTTTTTTTTTT